ATTCCTCAAATAGCCTGCCTTCTGCCACTAATGGAATTTAAGTTAATCAACAGCTGAGTGCAGATAACACAACCAAAGCTTTAAATATGGACCCAGTTTGGGTGAACCATTCACACATAATGACAGGTTTTATTGGTAGACTGTTGTATTAGACTGGTTGTACTCAATAAACCGAAGGTCCACTGAGTACTTCAGCATGGTTTGGATAAATCCATCCACCAAACTTTGCACATGTTTCTCAAATTGGCATAAAGTACACAACAGTAAATTTATGAGGGATACTTTTAGAAATGTTTCATATTCTAAAAATGTTTACGGTGAAATTAAAGTTTATATCTGGCCCTGTGTGGAACAAAATAAAAACTCAGTACACAGAGTTTGGTATGAGTGACTTTTTATTTTTGTTTATTTTTCTGCTTAGCTTTCAAAATGCTGGCAAGCTATGACTTCAGCCATGCTCAATACAAGCAGTGTACAGTATGGGAACCACAGACACAGCTCGAAAAAGTCCCACAGGACACAAAGGCCTTCTGTGTGACATCAGCATCAGGCATGACATCATCAACCATGGTGTGATGGAACTGCACACACACACACACACACACACACACACACACACAAGGTGTTTAAAAACATTTCAATTTTTTGCACCTGAAGGAGAGACTATGTCGTCACCGGCGTGTGATGGGGGCAGACACTGAGCCTGTCATTTCCACAGGTCCTAAAGTTGGAAACATACCAGCTGACACAGTTCTGCTGCTTCATGATGTCACAGCAGTGAAGTAATGAAGCTATAACAGGCAGCAATGCACATAAATCCAGACCTTAACCAGGAGATACTACACAAGGCACATGACCTTAAGTCTGCATGACATCTGAGCTAAATCAGGAGCATCATTTCACCAGCTTGTTCTTTGGGTAATGGTGGTGGTGCTCATGTTTATTTTCATTTGGAAAAATAATGAGCTAGCAGTGAAACAATAGCACATTGGCATGATGTAGTTTACCATTAAATATACTGACGACAGCTGTATTAGAGATTCCATTGTTCTGTCTTGGCCCTGTTGTTTGCATGACTAATACCTGAAAATATTTATTCCTGATAATACTGGCCAATTTTGTCATCGATCACCTAATTTGTCTACATTTATACTATTACATTGTTGACAAAGGTTTGTGATGGTGGTACTGAAGAGTAAGTGATGTCCCTTTATATTCTGTTTCAGCTCATTGGTTTTGTTTTTGAGCTTTGAGTTTTTAAGTCCTATCACTAGAACATACTGTATAAAATGATCTCACCTTGTGAATGTTTCCAGTTTGAATGTAGAAGTGTTAACAGATTGTAACCCACAGCTACTCTTTTAGACAAATAAGTCAGTCTATACTTAGCCTTCATATACCTGGGCCTACCACACACAGAGCCATGTGTTTCTTTTGGCTGCCACATTTAGATCTGCAGAACAGTGAGCATGCAGCCTGCTGATAGTCTGCACAGGACACTCTGAGACTGAGGCTGAGACAGTGAACAGACAGCAAAACAACCAATATCATTAAATTACAAGTACAATGCGATGCCAAAATGACTGTCGAGGACAAAATGAATCATCCTCAGTGAGCCTTCTGTTGACCTTAAACAATCCCGAACATAAAATAATCACTTTGTTTACTAAAAATTTTGAAATTCTTGGACTCCTTGGTCATAGTTTACAATACTGATGCTATCTAATCAAATTTTATTTCCGGTATCTTTAAAAGGCATTGGAATGTGTCAAACTATCCAAAGCACGTCAATTACAACAGGATTTCTGCATCTTCAAGAGACTTTCCTTCAAACCATGCAAACAATTGGCTGATAGAAGATAAATCTTAGTCGACAGCCTGACAGATACTAGATTATCGTGCATTTAAGATAACAGTGTCAGTTGTTGTGAGTGTTGTTTTGCAGCGTGGCTACAGTACGTTCCTCCATCAAGCTGTTTCCCTTAGATATCATGGACTTGAAGTTTGAGCCCTGAGGCTGCAGTGACTGATGGCACACACACACTCGCTCACACAAAGTCACACACACTTTCTCTGGTCTGCTTTGAGAGACACACACATGCCACACTTTCACTCTTGTGGCTGTGTTTTTCGTTGATGGTTTAATAGAAGTTACTGTACTGAGCCATCACAAAGAAAGAACATATCCATATTAGGAAAAGAGCAGATGTCCTTATACGGAAAAGCTTCCTCTGTAACAGCCCAGTCTGCTGGCTTGTCCCGCACATTCCTTCACCTTCAGGTTTCTCTGGGAGTTTTTCATTTCCGATTTGCTGGCTGGAGAGGGTGTAGGGCCGCCTTTCATAAAAGTCTAGCCTGGTGTGCGATCCCTCTTTTCAAAAAATACACAAACCTCCGTCTAGCCTCTTTCCTGCAATCCTCCACTCTGAGGTTTGATGTAGTAAAATAAGCCTGGCACACACGCCAGGACAGGGCACACCTGGCCTTTCAAGTTTGTCAGAGACTAAACCTCATTAGCCAATTGAGAAGCTAGAGAACATGTAAGCTTTGTTCCTGTAATATCTACCCTGCGTGCCTTCATAGGCCCGGGCAGCACTTTCACTACACTCGAGTTAGGATTTTTAATCATCATTTGTCCTGACTAAGATCCAGTGGAGTTTCACTGCCCTATGTGAAATAAAATCCCTCACACAGAATCCTCGAAAAAATGTCATTTTTTTCAAAGTATTAAAAGCAGCCTAATGCTCAATCAACAAACATCCATTTCAGGAAGTGCAATTAACTGAGAACATTAGTCTTTGTCCCCCTAATACCTGCATACCTTGGCTGGGCTGCTTACTTGGTGCAGGTAACTCAGGAAACATGACTCTCAGGATCATTTTGTGTCTGACAGTATTCATGCATGGCATAAATACAAACACAAACAACATATATGTATAGAAAATATAAATACACACAGATGTTGAGTTGAATATGACTGAGCCAAACCTTCATTTGACTTTGATCATTAGTTGCATCTCTAAAAAGGAAATGTGGATGAAGTGGGTTTTATTTGATGCTGAAATGGTTGCACTGGTGCAAACTACATTTACTCTAGTACTGTGCTTAAGTACAATTCTAATTCACTTATACTTTCTTCAGTTACGGTACTTTATTTGTTGCTTTATACTACAGCTCCACTGCATTTCAGAGGGAAGTCCTGTATGTTTTACTACACTGCATTGTTTGACAACTCCTGGATACTTTTCAGGTTAAAGGTTTATGTTTATAAAAGCATATCATTTCAACTTTAATTTAGTCAGTAGATCCATTAAGAGGTCACCTCACTTTTTTGGGAATGCCCTGATCACATTCACACAGTTAACCATTGACACCTGGAAGCTGCTCAGCCCAACCAGTCTTACCTGCCAGCCACAAGGGCACCACCGTGGTGTTAATGAGAACAGGGCAGGTGTTGCTTTGTCACCTGTCCCACCCAGATCTAATCCCGCTGATCCAGGGACTGAACTGGTGACCTTGGTCACACACCTGATTCTTTAACCTTTAGGCCACCACAGCCCCTTAATAACATCCATCCATTATCTATGTCTGAATAGGGTCGCAGGGGTGCTGGAGCCAATCTCAGCTGACACTGGGCGAGAAGCAAGGTACACCCTGGACAGGTCGCCAGTCTATCACAGGGCTGACACGTAGACAAACAACCACAGACACTCACACATACTCACTCACTCCTATGGGTAATTTAAAGTCAGCAGTCAACCTAACTTGCATGTCTTTGGACTGTGGGAGGAAGCCGGAGTGACCGGAAAGAACCCACGCAAGCACAGGGAGAACATGCAAACTCCACACAGAAAGGCATCGGGTCGGCTGGGGCTCAAACCCAGAACCCTCTTGCTGTGAGGCGACAGTGCTAAACCACTGTTCCACTGTGCCGCCCCCCCTTAATAACATAAAACATATAAAAAGTTCATAAAATTCACAGTATAGATAAAACTAGCTCCACCTGCAGATACAAAATTGAAATTCTTCTTATAAATTGGCACAACAGGATGAGTAATTTTGCTTTTGATACTTTACGCACTTCAGCTAATGCTGTGCTTTTAGTTAAGTATGGTTATAAATGCTCTACAAATTATTTTAATGCAGTGGTTTTACACTGTGATATTTTTACTTCAGTACAGGATCATAATGCTTCTTTTAAATCGGTCTGTATCTACTGTGCAAATTCAAAGTCACAGTGGGAAAAGATCAAAGATCATAAATCATCTGGATTTATGAAAGCAGAAGTATTTCTAATCACAATGCATCATTCATGTGTAAGGGATCATTATTCACTCATAATATGAACTGCAGTTCAGCCACTGATGTCAGCGCACAAAAATGCCCCTACTGTGTCCCAGACATAACCACACAAGTACAGAAGACAATGTTACAAGACTGCAGGGCTACAAGGCTGCCGAGTCTCTGTGCTGGAACGAACACTTTGGCAGATTAACAGTTCAAGTTAATGACACAAGTGAATTTCCTTCCCTCTAACCACTCACTGTTAATTTACTGGAGTGCAAACTGTCTGTGCACCTTTGAAACCAAAGCCAAGGAATGTTGTTGTGGGTTTAATGTCTTAACCACCCGTTACACATCAATCAGTTGATTAAACCATTGTATTATTATGGGGTTTTTTTTTCTTTCATGTATAGCTCTGTGTGCATCCAAGTTTTTTTCTTTTGTTCTACTTATAAAACTAATATTTATAGGTACCAGCTGTCTGTTTGTGAAGTCAGTCTTCAGGAATTCCCAGTGTGGGGTCCCAGGCCTCTAACCAGACTTTAACCTCCCTATTCTAGATGAAAGCTGCTCTGAGAGACACAGTGTTGGAAAGAATGCCAAGTATGTCCATGTTTGTCCACGGTTGGCTCTCCATTCAGCCCCCCGGTGACGTACTGCAAGGGCCAGGGGGTATAAAGGGAGCTTGCCTCTCCAGTCAGAGCTCAGATCACAACTCCTCCACCGAAGCTTAACTCTAGCTTTCAACAAGAAGAAACAGAAATACCGTGACTGGAGCAGCGGAGCAACGCTTCAAGACAAACAAGACAAAAGATCAACTCGATCAGAAAAGGCTTCTCAAGCTCAGACTCTGACAATAGAGAAAGACTTTCTCAACAAGACTTAAGGAAAAACTAGAATCTACAAGGAAGGAAAGATGTCTGCTGGAATGAAGAAAATGATTTTGCTGCCTTTGCTGTGCATCATGCTCTCGTACATGGTAAGTCAAATGCAAACTGCTGTTTTTCTGTTACTGTGGGCTTAGAATTGATCAGACTTCATTTATGTGGGCAATGTTTTGGGTCTTTAAGCTTTTCTCTTGTCATATCAGTGTGTGGACTGTGTTATCCATGTGCTCTGCCTACTATAATGCAACATGTGGAGATGATATTTACATGAGTGTGTGCCCTGTTGTGTGTCTCTGCTCAGGCTGCAGGTCAGGGGTGCAGTGGCCAGTGCTCGTGCCCCTCCACTCCCCCACAGTGCCCCCCAGGTGTGAGCCTGGTGCTGGATGGCTGTGGCTGCTGCAGGGTGTGTGCCAAACAAATGGGGGAGCTCTGTACTGAGAAAGACGTCTGTGACCCACACAAAGGCCTCTATTGTGACTTCGGAGCCCCCATCAACAAACGCATAGGAGTCTGCACAGGTGAGACACAGAAAATTGAAATCATTACCTGTGATCCCCTACTGTACTTTGTTACAGAACTTGGCCTTAAATTTTCTTAATGAGGGAACCAAATCCTGACCTTTCCTTGTTGTTTATGTACAGCCCAAGAGGGAGCCAACTGTATGTTTGGAGGCATGGTGTACAAGAGTGGAGAGAGCTTTCAGAGCAGCTGCAAGTACCGGTGCACCTGTCTGGATGGAGCTATAGGCTGTGTCCCTTTTTGCTCCATGGACATCCGGCTACCCAGCCCTGACTGCCCCGTACCCAGACGGGTCAAGGTGCCAGGGAAGTGCTGCGAGGAGTGGGAGTGTGAACCTCCCCACACTGACAGTATCATGGGGTCTGTTTTGCCTGGTAAGTTAGTCTCTTCTTCTGTGTCATAAAGTTGTTTCCTTGTCTGTAATCAGGATTGTCTTTCTAATCCAGTGTTTATTCTTGTGTTTACAGCCTATAGAGAAGAGGAGACATATGGCCCAGATCCTTCCCTGATGAGGGAGAACTGCCTGGTTCAGACTACTGAATGGAGTGCCTGCTCTAAGACCTGTGGCCTTGGGATCTCCACCAGGGTCACCAATGATAACAGTGAATGCCGCCTTGAGAAACAGAGTCGGTTGTGCATGGTGCGACCCTGCGAGTCACAGATGGAGCAAAGCATTAGGGTGAGTTTTCATTAAACAGCACTGCTTTCATGAACAATACACATAAAATACCAGCACAACAGGCAAAGAATACCTGCTGAAGTTGCTCATTTTCTTCCTGCAGAAAGGGAAAAAGTGCATCCGTACTCCCAGGCTCTCCAAGCCCATGAAGTTTGAGATCTCTGGCTGCACCACCACCAAGTCCTACAGGCCAAAGTTCTGTGGCGTCTGCCTGGACGGCCGCTGTTGCACCCCCCACAGGACCACCACCCTGCCCATGGAATTCAAATGCCCTGACGGACAGGTCATGAAGAAGCACATGATGGTCATCAAGTCCTGCGCCTGCCACCACAACTGCCCCGGAGAGAACGACATCTTCGAGTCCATGTATTACAAGAAGATGGTGGGAGACATGGCATGAGCTGCTGAAAGATGGTCAGAGCATATGACTTGAAAACAATCAGAAATTCATCTCATTTTGCAGCTCAATATATTGTTTTTTAATTTTCTCATTGTAAAAGTAGTCCAGACACTTGTCTTAGTGTCTGTGTGTTTTTGTATGGCTGGTGCACATCAGCCACATAGACTCAGACAGAGGGTTGCATAGCAGCTCCAATAGACTCCTGCACTATAACTTCTATTTTTGACAAACCTTCTGTCAGGTTTCTATCCAGTCTCCTTGAAATCCTTTTTACAAACTCATCCATCTTACTGTAGCTATTTTATACCTTATCTAAACCTTGACCTCGTCTCTAAATGAGTTGTTTAATGAGTCCCCCCGCCCTCCGAGGCCAGACCAGACCTGCAAACTCCAATCAGCTGTAGAGGGAGTGTGCAGACCGCAGCAGGATAATGTTCCCCTGTCTAAACAGGCATGAATGTGTCCTTGTCTGTACCTACGCTGCTCACTCTGCTCACAGAGTAGAGGAAAGGTCAGAGTTTCCGCCCAACACATAGATGAGAACGCAAGCAGCTTGCTGAATTTAGGGTTAGATATGAAACGCAGTCGGCATCACAACGGCACTGAGAAAAACAAGTACGCGTTGGCTGATTCAGGTCAGAAGGAAGAAATCAAGTGTCTATAGGAACAAAGTGTCTATTTTGTATAAAAAAAATAGAAAAGACTGGAAGAATTGTAATTTCATTCCTTTTTTATTGTTGTGTAAATGATGTATATATTTGTACAGTTTAAGTTAATTTAAAAGCCAAATTTGTTCTGTGCTTTGATATGTATCGATAGTGTATTTTTGTCAACAGTATTTTGTACTATTTTATTGAGAAGTGTGGCAAAATGTTACATGTTTCACTCTGTAGCTGGAAATAAAATGTTATATTTTTATACAAATATTGGGTTCTCCAGCTGGTCTTTCCTCAGTTTTGACAAACATATGAACTGTCTGAGCTTTAGTTTCACCACTCACTCACCTTTAACACTGTTCTATCCATGTCACATCTGTTAGCTGACATATTTAACAGGAACAGTACTCGTGCTGGTGATTTGCATGACCAGACTTGTTCATGTTTAACTTTTGACATCTTAAAAGGTGCTAGTAATAATTAATCATGAACACAAATAACACTCTCACAGAGTCAAAGTCCAGGAACTCTGTCTGAACTGAGTTATTTTAAAAATGGTTAAGCTACGTAATGTATATGTAACATTATTTACAACATTGTATTTCTTCAGCAAAAGGATGAAGGATAAACAGCAAACTAATACTACACAGAACTGGTGCCAGTTACCATATAACTATTATCCCTGTAATTATGTTAGCAGAACCAAAAAATGATGGTTTAAATGTAAGAGTATATGCACTGTTGTAAGGCATTCTTGCTTGTTTTTCTCTCATTTTTAACTGAGATGAAATTAAATAAATAAAGCCCAGGTCTCTCCCACAAAACAAAAAACAAATCTGCCTCTCTGACAAAGCTCAGCTTTAGAGAAGAGGACTGAGGCAGTCTAGTGTCGCCATCTGGTGTCCTTTTCATTTCACTGCCATGGATATTTTATAACCCCTCCAGGTTGCTACGGCATCCTAGTATATTTTTCATATCTTCCTTAACTCCCATAACTTAACTGGTAGGTATGATAGTAATAATAGCAAAGGAGATGTTCCCAGCAGTAAACACAGCTGTCTAATCAGTATCTGTAATAGCAGGTCAAACAGTGTAATAAAGAAAAACCTAAGTGTAATCTGTTATGTTTGGTCTTTTTTATTGTCAACTTTCAATTGTAATTTAACAATTTTAAACTTGCTATTTAATCTATAATACTAAACTATCTTCACCATGTGCTGATTTTGACACTTGCTATTTAATCTATAATACTAAACCATCTTCACCATGTGGTGATTTTTAGCTATGTTTTATGGTGCAGGCACAATCCTGGTACATTTGTCTCCTGGTGATGGTAGGCTATGCATAGATAGAGACATTGTTTACAGGCCCATCCTTCAGCTGTCTGCAATAGCTATATTTATGAGACCGTCTTGCAGTTTCTTTTTCTTCTGCCCACATTCTCTTCTTGTCTCATTTCAATCCCCTTTTTTTTTTAACTTCAGCAACATACTGCTGTCCAAATACAGCAGGAACTACTTGCACTGCACAGTCTGATCAAAATCTGCACTGGCTTCTTTTTCTTGATAGTAAAAACCAAACAATAATATCATGTTCATGCCAAAACCAACGATTAAAACGTTGGTGTTCTGAAACTGACCGTAATGTAAAAACAGCTTGTGTGTCAGATTGATAATTCATGTTCTCAGCTTTGTCACCCACAGCTTCAAACTGAAACTACTCTTTAGAATGAGAATCTAGATCCACTATAATAGACAGTGCAAGCAAAAATACTGTATATTATAAATGTATATATACAAACAAGCTATAAAAATACACGCTCAGCTGTAAATTTGTTAGTATTCAGTTTATTGCATTAATTCTAATATACAAATACTTATTTTAGTGGCATTAAAAGGATTACCTGTACCAAACAGAGACTTCCAGATAACCTATTCAATTTAATTATTTTCCTACATAAATTCAGTGCAGTTTTAGATTATCTGCTAAAAATGTTCACTTATTGCCTTGGATTGATTTGAGTCAACTGTATCTATAGTAATATGTAAGCATCTATGTATTCTTCTTCTTCCTTACAAGTAAGCATATGAGAAGGAGCTTTGTACATGTATATATGCCATTACTGTACAACGTCACCATGGTGGCGTGTGTATTCCTGGATCTGGTTGGTCACATAAATCGATGTGTAGTGTTAAAATAATCTGAAAAGCAGGAAAGATACATTTGCAGAAAAGAAAGATGATTGTCAGAGGAAAGAGGAAACGAAGGAAACAAGCTGTCAACTTGACAAAGGTTTTTGCTTCCGGAGTCTTGCTATGCATTCTGAATATATAGGCCTACAGTATATACATGTATGTATGCATGTCTGCACAAAACGTGTGCGTTTTAGTATGCATGTCTAGCTGCAATGTGTATCTACTGTTCTACTCTACGTGAGGGACAAAATGTCACAAAGGAGGCTGCAGCAGTCTGGCGCAAGTGGGCTTCCTCAAGAAAAATAGCAAAAGATAAAATCTTGTCACATTTTCACACGCTCTATCTGTGGAAACCAGGCAGTTGGTAAAGCGGAGGAGGACGAGGAGGCAGAGGAGGTTGCAGTGTCAACTTTGTACCAGGCTCTCGCTCAGCCTTGCCGCAGCTCATGGAGTTTCTGGGCAACGTTCTCGAGCTCTGACTCAATGGCTGCCAGGCTTTCAATCTCTGACTCCTGCAGATATAATGAGAGGAAAGCAAGTGAGGGGACAAGAACGTAGAGCAAAAACAATCGCATACACTCTATGTACAAACATCTCATGCACAACATCTGTTAAAATAGCACACGATAATTAGCTTCTGTGGGTTTTTTCCCCACCGGCTGTTGGCCAAAACTCATTACCACAAGAATAGCCTAGTTTTGCCTCCTACAACAAATGTGTAACAGTTTGCGGCCATCGAGGTTGTCATCGTCTAAATAGGCAAGGCAGCTTTATTTATATAGCACATTTAATACACAGAGGTAATTCAAAGTGCTGTACACAGGCAAAGAAAAACAGTGGCAGCATTAAAAACAATATAAAACCAGAATACTGTAAAATCAGTGAAGACAGAATGAAGATAATAAAATTAAACAAACTGAAAGGTCTGAAACAATTTTCTAGTAGTTACAGTGCAGAAATAAGTTTGCATAATGCATAATGAGTGGAAACATCTAGCCTGACTCTGTGTAAATCCCCCTACCAGCACCCCATAAACTCCCTGATTAACATGTTTTATTTTGTTTATTTAATCTGTTTAAAAAAGTGTTTAAAATGCTCACAGTTTTAGGTGGGGTTATGTTATGACGTTCTTGTAATAAAACGGGATAATACATGTTAATATGTTACTTTTAGACTGAGTCAGGCCGGCTGTTTCCAGTCTTTACACTAAGCTAGGCTAACTGGCTGCTGCCTGTAGCTTCATATTTTACATACAGACATGAGAGTGGTGTCACTCTTGTCATCCAACTCTCAGCAAAAAGGCAACTAAGCACATTTTCCCAAATGCTGAACTGTTCCTTTAAAATTTCCCTTCTCTCACTCCCTTGACAAAGTCACACTGCACTTACTGTTGGAAGATTAAAGCAGTGAAGCCTGTACCTCTAACTTTCTGCTGGCACTCCCCTCTTCCTCTGACACCCTCCTCTCCTCTGGTGCCCTCTGAGCAATCATCTGCAGCTCCTTCTCCTCTGGAGTCCTCCCAGGGTCTCTTTTCTTCTTCTCCTCCTCTTTTTCTGTGACCTCTTTCGAATGATGTGGTACTTCCTGC